CTCTGTGCTCAGAGGTATGTCCCCTCCCTTCCCCTTCCTCCATCCCCCACCTGCTGCAGCAGCTCTTTCCACAGTCTACAGGAATGTGGGGAATCTTCAGAGCTGCTCCTGCCCACTCCAGGTGGGCTGTACAGGGGCTGGGCTCATCTAGGGCAGCCCCAGTGGAGTGGCTTCCCGTGCCTGCTCCTGAGAAGACTGGGCAGTGTGGGGGAATCCACCCCCTCCATTGCTGCTGCTGTTCGTAGCTAAGCCCAGCCCCCCATGTAGCTTGGCTCCGGTGGGCAGGAGAAGCCTCCCCCTTTCCCAGAAAGCAGAAAGTTGCAGCAGCAGCAACTAGAGGAGGAAAGGCTGGAAGAGACAGAGAGGGAAGAGGACATGACTCTAAGCACAGAGGGGAAAAGGGGGATGCTTACCTGCTTTGGGAACTTTATAAAGGGCCCAGAAGTTCCTGCAGCACAGTTTCCCACGGGTGGATTAGAGGGAAGAAGCTGGAGAGGGAGGAGGCCTCTAACCTAAACATTCCTTGCTGTAACTTGAGACCATTGCTCTTTATTCTGTCATCTGCCATTACTGAGAACAGTCTAGCTCAGGGGCAGGCAGTTATTTTGGGTGGAGGGCCACTTAACTGAGTTTTGGCAAGCCACGGAGGGCCGCATGGTAGGCAGCCAGGGGTAGATAAATATTAATTTTCTAAATTTTTAGGAGCCCCGTGGGCCAGATAGAATGGCCTGGAGGGCCACATCCAGTCCCCAGGCTGCATTTTGCCCACCCCTGGTCTAGCTCCATTCTCTTTGGAACCCTCCTCAGGTAGTTGAAGACTGGTGTTAAGTCCCAGCTCAGTCATCTCTTCTCCAGACTAAACCCAGTTCTTTCAGCCTCTCCTTATCAGTCATGATTCCCAGCCCTCTGAACCATTTTTGTTGTCCTCCACTGGACTCTCCAATTTGTCTACACGCTTTCTGTATTGGGGAGCCCAAAACTGAACACAGTACTCCAGATGTGACCTCACCAGTGCCAAACAGAAGGGAATAATCACTTCCCTCAATCTGCTGGCAATGCTTCTACTAATGCAGCACAATATGCTGTTAGCCATATGGCAACAAGGGCACGCTGCTGGCTCATATTAAGCTTATTGTCCTTTTCTGCAGAGCCACCGCTTAGCCAGTCAGCCCCCAGCCTGTACCGGTACATGGGATTGTTCCGTCCTAAGTACAGGACTTTGGAGTTGTCTTTGCTGAACCTCATGAGATTTCTTTTGGCCCAATCCTTCAGTTTGTCAAGGTCTCTGAATCCTAGCCCTACCCTCCACCTTATCTGCTACTCCCCCCAGCTTCATGTTATCTGCAGACTTGCTGAGGATGCACTTCATCCCATCTTCCAGGTCGTTGATGAAGTTATTGAATGACCCCTGGGGCACTCCACTTGATACCAGCTGCCAACTAGACATTGAATTATTGATGACTACCCTCTGAGCCTGACAATCCAACCAATTTTCTCTCCACCTTGTAGTCCATTCATCCAACCCATACTTCCTTAGTTTGCTTGCTAAAATGTTGTTGGAGACTGTATCAAAAGCTTTATTAAGTCAAGGTCTATTACATCCACTGCTCTCCCCACATCCACTGCTTTCCCCATGTCCACAGAACCACTTAACTCATCATAGAAGGCAGTCGGGTTGGTCAGACATGACTTGCCCTTGGTGAATCCATGCTGACTGTTCCTAATCACCTTCTCTTCCAAGTGCTTAGTTCCTTGAGTACCATAATTTTTTCTAGGGCAGCGGTTCCCAACCCCGGGTCGCGACCCAAAAGAGGGTCGCAGGGGCAATGCCGGCGGCTCCACACACCAAAGACAAGCTGCACCGTGTAGTGGGAGCTCCTCTCCCCCCACCCCCGGGGCCAACACTGCTGCTGCATCTGCACTCCACTTGCAGCAGTGGGTTGTGGAAAAAAAGGTTGGAAACCACTGTTCTAGGGACTGAGGTGAAGCTGACTGGTCTATAGTTCCCCAGATCCTCCTTTCCTTTCTTAAAGATGAGCAATATATTTCCTCTTTTCCAATTGTCCAGAACCTCTCCCAATCACCACAAGTTTTCAAAGATGATGGCCAGCAGCTCTGCAGTCACACCTGTCAACTCTCTCAGCATCTTTGGGTGTATTGCGTCTGGTTCCATGGACTTGTACATGTCCAGATTTTCTAAATAGCCCCTAACCTGTTCTTTCACCACTGCTGGCTTCTTACCTCCTCCCCAAACTGTGCTTCCAGGTGGAGTAGTCTGGAAGCTGATCTTGCCTGTGAAGACTAAGGTAAAAAAGGCACTGAGTACTTCAGCCTTTTCTGCATCAGTGTTCCCACTGTGAGCACCATGTTTGATCCTTGTCATGAAAAAAGTATTTACCAGAAGTAGAGGGATTCAGAGAAGGGTGATAAAAAGTATTAGAAGTAGGAAAAAAATCCACCCAGGAAATTAAAATGATGGGAACTGCTTGGTTCAAAGAGGGGACATGATAGTGAAATTCTAAATAATGAATGGTAGATAGAAAACAAGTCAGGCAGTCTCTTCCCTTACTCAAGATGCCAGAACAGAGAGATGTTCAATAAATAAAAGTGAAAAGCAATAGAAGCAAAGTTATTAAGAGGAATAGTTTTAAACACAACACTGGTCAGGCTGCAGCTGGAATACTGTGTCCAGTTCTGGGCACCCCACTTCAAGAGGGCTGTGGACAACATTGAGAGGGTCCAGAGGGGGGCCACCCGCATGATCCGGGGACAGCAGGGCAGACGCTACAATGAGAGGCTACAGGACCTGAACCTGTTCAGCCTTCACGAGAGAAGGCTGAGGGGGGACCTTGTGACTGCCTATAAACTCACCAGGGGGGACCAGAAGGGTTTGGGGGAGGCCTTGTTTCCCCTAGCGCCCCCCCAGGATAACAAGGAATAATGGCCACAAGTTGTTGGAGAGTAGGGTTAGATTAGACATCCGTAGGAACTACTTCACAGTTAAGGCGGCTAGGATCTGGAACCAACTTCCAAGGGAAGTGGTGCTGGCTCCTACCCTGGGGGTCTTTAAGAAGCGGCTCGATGCCTACCTGGCTGGGGTCACTTGAGCCCAGTTTCCCTCCTGCCCAGGCAGGGGGTCGGACTTAAAGATCTACAAGGTCCCTTCCGACCCTACTTCTATGATTCTATGA